CACAGCTAGTTCTGCGTGAGGTTCAGTGGTAGCCTCACCTGGACCTGGACGCCAGCAAGGTGCCTTTGATACAGGCAACAAGGGTGTTTTTAGGTATGTCCATGTAAATTCTTTTCCCAGAGTTGCTGGCAAGGTTTTTAGCAGCAGCATGTCAGAGATGGGGTTTGCAATACTTAAGGGGTGCTGAGCTTCCCTTGGAGGTTAATGCTAGCCAGCTTTTGTTTTTTTAATTGTAGAGCTACACTGGTTTAACAAAGATTGCCTCCAGGACAGCAATTCCCATATTTACAACTCTTACCACAGAAAATGCACTTACCACGTTTATGAAAGTTACTTGAAGTAAATACAGCACCCTTGACTTTTGATGTCTTTTTTTTCTATAATTTCAACACTTTTGCCCTTTCCCCTAAAGTTAACAGCTTGTAACTTCTGCTAATTATTTGTCATGGCCAGCTCACAGTTCTGCCCATTCTCGCCTGGTTTGTTTGGTCCGTATTGCTCATTTTATGCATTTCCTTTGAATGCTGCTTTCAAACATTTTTTATACATTTTACAATGTATAAAGCTGGAATTGATTCACATGACATTGCAAATAATAACGCTGCAAGCAGTTAAGAATCAGCACTACTCATAATCAAGTGTTTGGAGACACATGGATATGTCTATTTCTCAACTTTTTTTAAAGAATTATTTTTATGCTGATGTCTTCTTTTAAGACACTAAAAGTCAGTCTTCCTCTCATTCCCACTGTAGCTCAGAAAATTTGAGGAATTCTTTTTTCCTTTCTTCTTTTACAAAAGCTGTCAAACAAGAGAAAACCTCATAGTACCTGTACACACTAGCATGGCATTTTCTGTACCCTGACCTTGGAAATATTAATATTAATTGGCTGTGTATCATGTGTGTAATATATTTATAAATATACATTTATTAATATATTTGTATTTAAAATGTTATCATGTTCTACTTCAATAACGTATTTCTATACACTTGGTATGGCATGATATAGTTATACAACAAAGTACATTTGTATTTGTACTTACAAATGTATTTTTGTCTTTTGTTCTAGGTTATGTACTGTAATTTCCAAAGGGTGACATAATTTACCTTCTTTGTATGAGAAGCATGTTCCATTCCTTTAAAAGTCCATGTATTTTTACGTCACACTGTACGTTAAAGGAGCAGTGATTGAAATCATTGTTGTCAAGGAAGAATGTATTAAAATTATTAATAAGACTTAAACCCACACGAGACTTACTGAATCATCTGATCTGACCTAAATTTATGACCCTTCCTCTCAGTTCTTCCCTTTGCATACTTGCACAAAGACAGGAGGATTGAAAGGAAGAAAAAAAACCACAGCAAAGACCAGTGAAAACTGTATATTTGCATTAGGTCGATGTAACATTTTGTGATTATAATAATATAAACAAATAAACTATAAGGGCATTCACATCAGACCTCATTTCAAGCTGAACTATTATAAAGCGATTAACAGCCTCACACTCCTGCTTTAATTAAGTTATGTTGTGAAATATTCAGCATTTGAACCTGTTCTGGCCTGCCTCTTTTATCATTGAATTACCATCCTTAATGTGTTTTTCTGCTGAAAGATGAATTTCATTTAAGGATTACTGTACACTGTGCTGGCATTTTGTGGTTTCTTGTCAGCCCTTGTGAATCTAGATCATAGCTAACTTCAGTTCCTCTGACATGTCCTATATGCACAGTCTCTTGACTAGCCTGTCTCAGTGGATTTATTAACTCATATTGTATTCCTGTAGAAATGAATGGACATTTTTGATTAACTTAATGATAGAAATTTCAGATGACAGTAGAGTTTACTTTTGGAGCTTACTTCAGGTTATGTAGGCCACAGCAGCTCTCTAGTGACCTATCACTTCACAGAAATGCGTTTTGAAAGTTTCAAGGCAGTGGACATCCGTCTGCCAAATACTTTAAAATGGTGCTAGCAAGGAGGGAATTGAACGGTCCTTCAGAGCTGGGGTGTCTGAATCCACAGCCACCCCCAGCACTGCTCTTTCCTTTCCCGGGGTTGGTTTTCAGCTGTTATATCCTACTGCATATTGCAGAGTCTGCCATCAGGCAAATTCATGCTACCAGATGACTTTGAGGAAGGGTCAATGAGTGATGCCTCAGCGATGCATCCCATTTCCCTCCTTTCTACTTGTGCCTACCCAGGACCAAGGTGATGCAACTCAACACAGCACCATCAGTGTTGGTAGTGCTTTTTCACTCTCAGTTGTCTGATGATCAGGCTGCGCTTTTAGGGAGGGGAGGACATGCCAATCAATATTGTCATGTTCTCTTGACTAGTGACATAAATGTCCTTAGAGGGAGTTCGCCAGATCTTGAAATGTGATGACAGGTCAGGTGGGTTTGTTTACTCCCACTACCCCGCAGATCTGTCTCTTCTCAGGGTGGGTGGCAAGGCAGAGAATCCTGATGCTGTACCTGGTCCCGTATGGATAAGGTGCTACAGGGATGGCACCCAGAGCCAGGAACTCCTGAAAGAGGTCTTCGCCCTGGCAAGGCGAAGGTTTGCTCAAGTACAAAGGTTTGAGTGACATGGCTTTGGCTTCCAGTACGGTAATTATATGCTGTAAATTACACTCAGCTCTGGCAATGATTGAAAATATATGTGGTAATTTACTTGTGTGAAGGTAGTCTAAGGTCCATGCTGTCCTCTGTGCTGGACAAGCACAGCATGCATATCTCTGCCCCCAGAGCTCACAGCTCAAACAGGCAAAACAGAGCTGCAGAGAAGGACATGGTGTTCACAGTGAATGATCCATGGCTTGCAAAACACATGGTAAATAAATCCCCCTACTTGTTGGTAGGGACAAACACAAAAGAAGGACAAGCAGATTTAATGAAAGTGGGCTAAGATGAAGGCCAGAGAGGAAGCAGGGGAACATGCGGGATTGATTCAGGAGAGAGGAAAACACTCTGAAGAAAGGAAGCAAGCACTACAGGGGAAAATGCATCCAGCATAAAACGAGGAACACGACAGAGATCATCTCTTTTGCTGGATGGATCCTCTGCAGACTGAGTTTCTGAGCTGGCTCTCCCAGCCATTTCTCTTCCCTGAAGTCAGATCAGGGAGAAGACATGAGGCCAGAAAGGGCTTGGTGCTCTTGATTAGGCAGGTCAGAGCTCTCGGTTGTGAGACACTGGGATGAGAGAGGAGGGTAACCGTGGCGGGGTCTTTGTTCCCATTTCACAAGCTGTGCTGTGGCAGCTCTTGCAGCTGCTTGTCCCTGCTCTGGCCAACACTGTCCCAACAGAAGCTGCCTTTCTGCTTTCATGAGAGCATTGGCCACCTTAATTCTTACCGAGCAACTGTGTATGGCAGGCATGTAAGACATGTTTGTAGGCAGAAGAAAATGCTGGGTTTGTCCTGTCCTTGTAGCTGCTGTGTGTTTCTAACAAGTTGTTCTGAATGAAAGCCTTTTAACCCCAGAGACTTTGGTGTGGGAAATTCAGACTGTGCATATTTTACCTTAAATTTCAGATGACCTTTCCTTGTTTTAAAATGTATAAAATCGTTTAGGACTGATGCAAATGAAAGCTGGCACTAAAATGAAGTTTCCTATTGTTCTGTCTTTCCTGGAAAAGAGTTGGAGATAATTTCCAGTGCCTGTTCTTGCTTTCTTAACTCACCTAAAACCAATCTTCTCCTAAGGCAGTTGCTCAGAATAGCAGCATGCACGTCAGGATCGTGGCGTTGGCACACTGTGCTAGTTACGGGATTCCTTGTAATGCGTAAGAACAGCTGAGGAAATGTGAACTGGAACACAAGTGAACTGAGCTAGATCTAACTTTTCCCAAGTGGGGGGAAAAATTTGTGTCTGATGATTTTGGGATCTCTTGTAAGAATCTGAGCTCTTTGTTTCAGCAAAAAGAAAAATCAAAACTATGCAAAAGAATGTTTTGATGCACCTATCTTAAATTAGAGGTTTTCTATGGCTAGCTTCATGGGCGAGTTCCAATCATTTCAGCCAGTGTAATACATTTTCTTGAAAGAAAAGGCATGTGCTAGACCAGCAAAAGAGTTATTTCCTCTGCATTAAGTAGAAGTGTTTGGGAAGAGCATGCTGGTGTATTGTAAGGATATAACAATATCACCAATATCTTCCTACTGTAAACAGGAGTAGCATCTCATGGGAGAAAATGAGTGACGCAAAGGTCTTACAGAAATGAAGGGTTGAAAAGCTTGCACTTCAGTGGGAGTATAAAAATAATGCTTTTCATCATCAGTTCTAGTTAAGGATAAGGGGTGCTTAAACTGTGCGCTATGACCCATCTGAAGTCTTGAATTCTGCTCAGCCTGTATAAAGAATTAACACAAAAAAGGTTAAATGGAAATTCTGGCTGACGCAGGGAGGTACAAAACCTACCCAAGCAAATGTGTTTAGAGCAAACCAGGAAACTAGGTAACTGTGTCAATAAACTAGCTTTATACAACGCACTAAAATACACCTTATTTACTCTGCCTCATCTACAATTCAGTTAGCAGCACAAGGTTATTTTAATACTATGCAGAGTTCAGAGACTAAAAAGTGCTTGTGGGTACAGGCACAAAGGCTTCTCAAAGAGAGAAATACAAATACTCATTCGCAAAATTCTCAGGAAGCTTTCTTTTTTTAATCAGCATTGCCATTTTATTGTTTAACCTACCCTGCTTGATCTCCCTACTTTTGGTTAATACGGGAGTCAATTACAGCTTCATCTGTGCAGAATTAACTTTATAGAAGTGTGTGTGTGTGTGTGTGTGTGT